CTATCATTACAGATAATGTTGCAAATCTAAACAGCCACTTGATGAGGGAGGTATGCAAACAATTTAAAATTATACATCGTAATTCTACCCCTTATCGGCCCAAAGCTAACGGCACTATTGGACCTGCAAATAAGAATATCAAGAAGATCCTTAGGAAAATGATTCAAGATTCCTGACAATGGCATGAAAAGCTGCCTTTTGCACTATTGGGATATTGAAGCACCGTGCGCACATCAGTTGGGGCCATGCCCTACCTATTAGTTTATGGCACGGAAGCCGTAATACTTGTAGAGGTTGAGATTCCCTTTCTTCGGATCATTGTCAAAGCCGAGATTGAGGATGATGAATGGGTCAAAACCAGTTTGGAACAGTTGACTCTGATCGATGAAAAGCGGATGGCCGCAGTTTGCCACGGGTAGTAGTACCAACAAAGAATGGCCCGTGCCTACAATAAGAAAGTGCGGCCTAGAAAATTCAAAGTGGGGTAACTCGTTCTAAGACGTATTCTCCCACATGATGAAGAAGCCAAAGGAAAATTTGCTCGAAATTGGAAAGGTCCATACATTATAAGAAGAGTGCTACAGATGGGAGCGTTGTATTTGGGAGACAACGAAGGAAATGACTCTAAGAAAACTGTCAATGCAGATGCGGTCTAAAGGTATTATGTTTGACCCGTTTATGCAGCTCTAATGCTCTCTGATTGGGATGACGAAGGCTTTCATCCTCGCTACCTAGACACTATCAACCCTTTGCAAACATTTGAGACGGTTCCCTTTCTTTGACTACCCACTTTGGAATCTGGATGCTATTGTTAAAAAATGAAACAAAATTGGAAAAAAAGAAAAGAAAAGACCAAATAAAATCAAAACAAAGTTCCTTGAACTACGTTCGACTTGATTCTGAAAGGATATGAAGGCAGCCTCTCTCTGGGTTCAGTCACACCAAAACAAAATCCACATTCCCCCAAAAGTTGAAACTGGGCAGATGTTATAATGTATCGTTGACGATTTTGCTTGAAAGGTTCAAAAGTTGTAATTCAATCCAAATTTCTTTTACCCGAATCCTTTTCAAATCCTTCCGACCGATCAAAAAAGATACAGTTGCTTGGATTTGATGCGACCAAAATGAGAGAAATGAAATGAGAGAGTCTAGTTGGTGAAAATCCTCACGGGCACCGTAAGGTGATGGTAAGTAGAGAAATTAAAAACGAGAGAATCTTGTTAGTGAAAACTCGCAAAGAGCACTATAAGGCGATGGTGAGAAGAGAAACGAGAGAGGTCAGCTGGTGAGAACACGTAAAGGGCGCCAATAATCAAAAATAGGATCTTCTTAGCAATCGACATCGACACAGTCTTGTGCAAGGTTTCTCAATTTTGAGGCAAAGTTGTAATGAATTTCTGAGAGTCGGATGATTTACACAGATCAAGCATCTAGTCCAAGAGGCATGTCATGTTCATTGAAGTTTGCATGTACTCCAGATAAGTCCTTCTCTCTTTCTCTCTATTCCACTGTTGTTTTTCTTTGAATTCCTTTCAGTCCAACTCTGTTATGAAACTAAGACAGAGAAGGGATGGTAAGACCGATTTACAGGGTTCTCATATAATACAAGTTAATATTTGCATGGGCATCAATTCAACCTCGATTGGTTGTGGTGGCCGATGATTTGAAATCAAAAACTCTCGAAAGAAGGAAATTAAATTGAAGTGCCTATAAGGGCAAAATAAAGTTGAAAAGGTTGAGTCCCACACGACTAACCACCTTGGCAAGGTTTGAAAAGCCAAGGATTCCCCAATGCTTTGGATTTAAAAATTGAAAGAAAGAAAGTCAAATGCCCACAAAGGCAAAATAAAGTAGAAAAAGGTTAAGTCCCAAGCGACTAACCGTCATGGTAAAGTTTTGGAAAAGCCAAGGTTTCTTAGAGGCTATAATTGAAATTAGTTTTCAAGAAACAGCCAATTGAAAATACCATCAAAGAAGTCAGTCTGAGATCAAGTGACTGAAACAATCAAGGCCGCAAAATCAACCACCGTTTCAAACTGATAAATTGTTATTTTTTTTTTTTTGAAAAAATAAGAAACAGGTGCAATCAAAAGGCAACCCTATATAAAGCAGGTTCAACCAAAAGAAACCGCACGGAGGCTAAAAATAGCTTCGCAGTAGCAACAACTCCAAAAAGGGAAGTTTTCTCCAATTCTTTCCCGCATTTTATTCATCCTCTTAATAATAAAAGAAAGAAAAGAAAAAAAGTACAAAACCATGATAGTATAAGGTCTCCAATCCCTAGCTGCATTTTCCAATATAAGGTCTCCACTTCTTAGTTTGTTTTATTTTAGACATAGGGTCTCTACTCCCTAGTCTCTTTTCCAACATATGGTCTCCACTTTCTAGTTGATTTTATTTGAGACATAGGGCCTCCACTCCCTAGTCTCTTTTCCAACATAAGGTTTTCAATACATAGTTGGTTTTATTTAAGACATAGCGTCTCCATTCCCTAGTCTCTTTTCCAACATAGGGTCTCCACTCCCTAGTTGATTTTATTTCAAACATAAGGTCTCCACTCCCTAGTCTCTTTTCCAACATAGGATCTCAATTCCATAGTTGATTTTATTTTAGACATAGGGTCTCCACTCCCTAGTTGATTTTATTTGAGACATAGGGTCTCCACTCCTTAGTCTCTTTTCCAACATAGGATCTCCACTCCTTAGTTGAAGTTATTTTAGACATAGGGTCTCCACTCCCTAGTATCTTTTCCAACATAGGGTCTCAACTCCCTAGTTAAAGTTGTTTTAGACATAGGGTCTCCACTCCCTAGTCTCTTTTCCAACATAGGGTCTCTACTCCCTAGTTGAAGTTATTTCAGACATAGGGTCCCCACTCCCTAGTCTCTTTTCCGACATTCGGTCTCCACCCCCTAGTTGAAGTTATTTAGACATAGGGTCTCCACTCCCTCGTCTGATTTTCCAACATAGGGTCTCCACTCCCTAGTTGAAGTTATTTTAGACATAGGGTCTCCACTCCCTAGTTGAAGTTATTTTAGACATAGGATCTCCACTCCCTAGTCTCTTTTCCAACATAAGGTCTTCACTCCCTAGTTGAAGTTATTTTAGACATAGGGTCTCCACTCTCTAATCTCTTTTCCAATATTGGGTCTCCACTCCCTAGTTAAAGTTATTTTAGACATAGAGTCTCCACTCCCTAGTCTCTTTTCCAACATAGGGTTTCCACTTTTTAGTTGAAGTTATTTTAGACATAGGGTCCCCATTCTCTAGTCTCTTTTCTAACATAGGGTATCCAACCCTAGTTGAAGTTATTTAGACATAGGGTCGCAACTCCCTAGTCTGCGTTTTCAATAAAGGGTCTCCACTCCTTAGTTGATATTATTTTAGACATAGGGTCTCAACTCCCTAGTATGTTTTTCCAACATAGGGTCTCCACTCCCTAATTGAAGTTATTTTACACATAGTGTCTCCTCTTCGTAATCTTTTTTCCAACATAGGGTCTCCACTCCCTAGTTTCTTTTATTTTAGACATAGGGTTTCCACTCCTTAGTCTCTATTTTCTTACAGTACACCAACCCCAACCTTTTTTGCCTTCAAAATTATAATATAGTATAGAGTTTTATTACAAATAACTCATGAAATTTTTCTAGTGAAAATTGGGGTAGAAAATATTCCTTTGTTTATTTATTTTGGTGTCTGAGCAGGTTTTACCTCGAGGAACGGGTTCGAGATAAAGAAAAGAAAAGGAAAGGGAATGAATCTAAAATGTAGAAGCGGATGAAAGGGTATGGACTACTCAAGACATGACTGAAGTCACAAGTTTTGCATGTCCCGTTTTTATCTGAAAAAGCCATAGAAGGATGAACTAGCACTTGCTACAAGCAAGCATCAAGATTTAGATCAGAGTCTGTGTAAAAAATAGGCCAAGACTCAAGATCAAGCTTCAAAAGGCTTGTACATAGGAATTTGTAACTCGTAGCTGATAGACTTGTTTAGTTTCTTTTCATTTTTTAGTTTGGTGTCATAAGAAGTTCAGCAAGCAGTAACAACAGCAACAGCAGTGGGATCAAAGCTTCTCGATAGTCACAGATACCAAAATTTTTGGAACTACACTAACCTGATTACTTTATAGTCAAGGATATGTAGGCAACCTCCTAAGCAAGGTTCAGTTAAACTTTTTCAAAATACTTCCGAATAGAGTGTCAACCAGGCAAAATTGCTCGTAATTGCTCATTTTATCTTTGCCCGAAAACTCTTTATGTTTTTGAGCAAATAAGGGCAGTTGTAAGCACGTAATTTTTATCCGACGGAAAATACTCCTAAAAATCCACAAAAATAAATTTTTCCAATTGTTTTAATTTTATAGAATCTTAGGATTTCTTTTTAATTGTTTGTTTGTATTTAGTTGCATTTTTTAGCACATTTAATATTTTAAAATCATGAAAAATACCATATAAATGTCTAAATCTTCATTGCATAGTATTCTAGATTTTTGTTTGTATTTAGGATTTAGCTACATTAATTAATTACATTATCAAATGAAAATCACAAAAAAGTACAATAGTTATTTTTTTTAGCTTTTAGTTTCAAATTTTTAATAATTTTCTTTCATCAATGTTAAGTATTTAATTACTTAAACGTTAGAAAATAGGTAAGTAGTTTTAATTTGGTAAATTAATTTTAAGTTAGGAGCTAATTTAGGATTTTTAATTGATTTGTTAAGAATTTTTAAATCAAAGAAAACGAAAAAAAGGAAAGAAAGAAAGGAATTAAAGAGTATGCTTGGTTTTGCTTATGTTTTGGGCCAAAAATAATATCAACGGCCCAATTTATCACAAATCCGCTCCAGTCCAGACCTTCAAAATTCGGTCCAGCCCCTTTAAACCCAAAATGATCCTGTTTTTTACCCCTCCAATCTCAAACCTCATCTCAGTTAATCCAACGGTCCGTAACTACCCACCCCATCCTATAATACTGTCCTAACTGACCCCCCAAATTCCTAAAACCTCTTCATTTTTAATCTCTCTCATCCTCATTCCAAAATCTAGCCACCCTAGTTTCCTTCAAACCCTTGTGATTGGCGGCCACACACCAAATCCCTCCAAAATCTTCACTCTACAACCCCCGGATCTCCCATATATCTAATATCCCATCAATTTTTCCGAAATCCTTGCCAAATCCCTCGATTTTCAAATCTGAAAATTGTTTGAGCCCTAGCCGTTCTTTGTTGAGATTTTTTTGGTCTTTTGAGTTTTAAATTGTCATCAGTCGATTGCTTTGATAAGAGCAATTGACTGATGTTAATCTTAACTCATTGCATGATCATCCAAATGAGGTCAAAATGTCGCTCAATCGTCAGTAATTTTGTTTGAATTTCTTCCAAGAAGGTACCCTCTATTTTTATTTTATTTTATGGTCAATTGCATATCTAGGTATTCATTTTGTTACTTCATATTTTTTTGTTGGGTTTTGCATGATTTAAAGTTCTGTTTGCCCATTCCCGTGCATTACTTTTATTTTAGTTAATTGGATTATTAGTATGTTTGAATACTGAGTTGATCCCTCTATAGTCTTTAAGAATTTTAGTTTTCGTTTTAATGATTTCATTGATGTCTTACATTTTAGGTTAAGGGTTAATCCAATAATCTGTTTTATGATAAGTGTATGTGATTTTGGGCTTTGTTTTGAAATTAAAAAGAAAAGAAGGATGGAGTTAAAAATAAGGGGTGTAGAAATATAATTGGCAGAAATACTAGAAGGGTTAAAAGAAATAGGAATTTTAGGGAATCATTCTGTTAGTTTGGCTGGGATGTTCTAGAACCTAGTGGTAGGGACAAAAAACATTAAAATAAGTTAATTAGGTCACAGTTTGGAGGGTAGAAAGGGATAAAATTAGAAGAAGAAGGGTCGTAAGCAAGAAGAGAATGTTTGAATAAACACAACAGTCAAAAATTGGTTAGCAAAGATGCCAATTCCCTGATTTTTAGGGAGCTGGCAGAATATTCTCACACTCCTCTCTCATTTTTTTTTGCACAAAAGCACGCTCCTACACTCTATATAAGAGACCTCACACTCCTTCATACACATACGTCAATACTCTGAATATTCACTCACTCGCAATAACACTTAAAAAGCTAAGAATTTGGAAAAAAATTATTTTGAAGAAATTTTAAAAAAAAAAAAAGAATAAGAGGTTCTCCAGCTTTTTGAGTCCCTGTTAAAATATTTGTGTGCACATTGGAAGCTTGTTCTTTTCTGGCACTTTTGGTTGTGTTTTTTTCTTGCTCCATAGCTAATTTTTCTTTTTGGAGTTCCTAACTTCATTAGGTACTAATCCTTTCTCTATATTCATCTTTTTCCAGGTATTTTGCCAATACCTTATGAACTTATGAAATGAATGAAGTTTTCATGATGGTATGATTGCTAGTAGTAAGTTGAGTTGCACTTTTTTTTTAATGAATTTCCCTTATAATGGGTTTGTAATGTTTTAAGGCTTGAGACCTTTGCTGATCTTTATCCCCATGAGCATCCCTGATTCATTATTTCTTTTTGTGCAAATTATTTTAGATGAAAATGATCTAAATCTAGCCTGCATGTGGTGATTTCCTTATGTTTAAGTCAAAAAAAAGAGGAAATTTATCTATTAGTTATGGCTAAGTTGACATGTATTTTATCTAATGTGTATTTAGTCCTTAGAGGATCAGTATCCTCATTTTATTGCTTTTCTTATTGTAGATTGCAAGGTTTTATGCCACTTATGAAGAAATTGGGTTGAGTTTGTCTAGTATAGATTTCTTTAATTTGAAGGTTAAGCCTTTATTTGTAATATAAAACTTAATGGAATCTGTGAAATTTTTATCTAATTAGTGATAATGTGATATTCATGTTTAACTAAGTCTAGTTTCAAGTTATGTAGGAATTTATGCAATTTTGCTCTTATAAAATTTTTACGGAAAACTTTGATGAAATTGCAAATGAAACGTTGAAAGGTCCTGTCCATGATGGAGGCCAGGACCATGCGTTCTGGCTAGACTTTAAAAGAAGTTAGCAACGGAATGTAACGACCCGACTAGTTGTTTTACATTTTAGAACCCCGTCCCCCTAAATAAAAATTTCAGCGCTTGCTTTAACTAATTTACGACCTGCGGGGATGGTTGGTTCGGGATTTGAAAGAGTTTGTGTTGAAATAGGCTCATTTGATTCCTTAAGATTTTCTTAAAAGGCTAAGTTTGACTTTGGTCAATATTTTTAGTAAATGGACCCGAATTTGTATTTTGACGGTCTGGGTCCTGGGTGTATGCCCGGAATCAAATTTCGAGGTCCCTAACATCAGTAATGAATTTTTATTAGAAATTGTTAAACTGAAATTCTAAGGATTTAAAGAAAATAACTAATTAATGATCATGTTGGTATCGGGACCGTATGTTGGTTCCGAAGTGCGGTACAGGTCCAATATAATATTAAGACTTGCCCGCAAAATGTAGTATCAATCCGAGTAGTTTAAGTACGTTTCGGCACGTTAGAAGTAAATTGAAGAACTTGAAGTTCATAAGTTTGAACCAATTGGTTTTAGGGGGTGATTCTTAGATTCAGCGTTGTTTTGGGCATTCCGAAGGTTCGAGTGGGTCCGTTTCATGAATTCAGACTTGCCGGTATGTTCAGGCGGGGCTCGGCAACCCCGAGAGTCAATCGGGCGAGGCTCGGGAGAAGTTGGAAATTTTGGGAAGGAGTTGAAGCTCCAGCTATCTGTCATACACCTGCAGTTGGTCAGCCGCAGGTGCGAGACCGCAGAAGCGGTCAACCTCTCGCAGATACGGCCAAGCTTGGCCAGGCCCGAAGCAGAAGCGGAGACGCAAATGCGGCTTGCCTCTCGCAGATGCAGCCTAGCAGCCCGGTTGAGATTTTGCAGAAGCGGGCATATTTCCGCAGATGCAGTAGGCACAGGTGCGGCCCAGGACCGCAGACGCGGAAATCACTAAAGCAGTGAGCTTCATTTAATACGGGCTCCAGCCATTTTTGCCCATGTTGCACTCGTGTATTGGCGATTTTGGAGCTCTTGAGAGAAGATTTCCTCCTATAATCTTGAGGTAAGTTCATCCCCCTTACTTCTAAGTTTAATACTTGAGTTTTGAGTGGATTAACACATAAAGATTAGGAAAAATCAAGGGATTAGAGCAAAACCTATGGTTTTGATAAGAGTTATATTTAACCACGAAATTTGTTATGAAATGAATAAGAAATCATATATTATTGACCTTAGGTTACAAAGAACAACTTTCATCGAAAAATTTCGGAATCCGAGCACGTGAGCCTGGGGTCGAATTTTAAGAAACTTGTGTTTAAGGTTGGAAAATTGCTTTAATAGTTAGAATGAGATCTTGTGAGCTTGTATTTACTCGTTCCTACCCCATTTAACTAGTTTTGGATCGTTCGGCTCCAAATTGAGTGTCCTGGCTCGTTCTTGGTATTGGAAGTACCGTTTGGAGCGAGGTAAGTCTCCTTTCTAACCTTATAAGAGGGAATTATCCCCATAAGTGTAATAATTGAATAAATTACCACTAAATGCGGGGGCTACCTACGCACTAGGTGATGAGTGTCCGTGCGTAGCTACTATTATGTTAATTGTCCGGGTAGTTTAGGACTCGTATCATGCTATATTTGCGAATGTTTATATATTTTCTTGCCAATGTGATCACTTAGGATATACTAGAGAATTTGCTATGAACACAAGTGAACATATGTACTTGTTGAACAATTGTATGAATTTTATTTGAATATGAATGAGCCTTCATGTGCTTTCCTGATGACAATTGATATTTGTGGATCGGGTCGATCGCCTTGGTAGAAATAGATGCATCTATGGTTCGCGGCATTCGACCCTCTCAATGCACAGTTTCTTTTCTGTTGGATCAGGCCGTCGACCTTGGCATAATGTGCGCATGATATCTATGTGAAATTTTATTCATGACTTGGTTTGTTGAGTGTTTTGAAATGTAAATGGCTACCTGTAATATTGTTAAGGACATGACTTATTACTTCTTGATACAAACTGTAAATTAATTAGGACTTCCATGCTTAATATCACACTTTATTATATTATTTGACACTAGTAAGTATCAAGTCGACCTCTCGTCTCTACTTCTTCGAGATTAGATGGGATACTTACTGGGTAAATATTGTTTATGTACTCATACTATGCTTCTGTATTTAATTGTAAAGGATATGAGGCAGGTACATCTAGATATCAGTCTGGTGCGCATCCCTGATTAGAGTCTGAGACTTCCACGGTGAGCTGCTCCCTTCTTGTGCCATTCAACAGCTTGATGGAGTCTCTCTTTATTTTTGTTGTCTATTCTATTTCAGATAGTAGGATAGATTTATTCTTTTGTATGTTCTACTAGTTGCCCACAACTTGTGACACCAGGTCTTGGCACACACATTAGTAGACTATTCTTTTTGGAATTGTATAACTATTTTGGGAATACATTACGGATTATCACTGGTTTTAACTTCTTTATTGGAAATTGTAGTACATGTTTGGTATAGTAAAGTGAACACTTAATTAGACTTCCGCGTTGGCTTGCCTGATAATGGTGTTGGGCGCCATCATGACCTGTAATTGAAATGGGTCATGACAATATGGTATCAGAGCACTAGGTTCACGTAGGTCTCACAATTCATGGGCAAACCTAATATAGTCTTGCAGATCGGTACGGAGACATCTGTATTTATCTTCGAGAGGCTATAGGGTGTTAGAAAAACTACTCTTTATTCATTTCCTATCGTGCATTGGTTGGTATACTAAATTTCCCTTTTCTATCCTCTCACAGATGGTAAGGACACGTACGACTGATGCTCTAGACACGGGAGGAGCTGCTCCCCCCGTTGTTCGAGGCCGAGGCAGAGGCCGGGGGAGGGCACCGGCCCGAGGTAGGGGACGAGGGCATCCCAGAGTTGTCCTAGTAGTGCCACCAGTAGATCCTGCGGGAGATCCTATCATTGAGGAGTAGGGCGAGGTGCCCGTAGCTGAGCCTACCCTAGTGGACTTTATGATAGCACTGGGTTTCTAGGAGGTCATGGGCCGTATGCTGCAGTTCATGGACACCATGACTCAGGCTAGTTTATTTCCAGCAGATCCAGCTACCTCACAGGCATGAGGGGGAGCACAGACCCCTACTGCTCAGGCTCCTAGTTATGCAGCTACAGTGTATCAGACTTCAGGTGCACTACCCGCGGATGGGGCTTAGCCAGTTGCTGCAGTGGTGCCCGAGCCTAGACCAGCTGCGGATGGTGACCTACATAAGTTACTGGATAGATGGATTAGACTTCACCCTTCTATATTCGAGGGTGAGCGTCATGAGGATGCCCAGGATTTCATCAATAGGTGCAGGGACAGACTGCACAACATGAGGATATTGGAGTCGCATGGAGTTGACTTCACTACTTTTCTGCTAGAGGACAGGGCCCATAGATGGTGGTAGTCCTATGTTCTTGGCAGGCCAGCAGGTTCTCCTCCCATCACTTGGGGTCAGTTCACACAATTATTCTTGGACAGGTATATCCCACCCTCTGAGAAGGAAGAGTTGCGATATCAGTTTGAGCAGCTTGAGTAGGGTCAGATGTATGTGACCGACTATGAGGCGAGGTTTTCTTAGTTATCCCGTCATGCATTGATGATACTTCGTACTGACGCAAAGAGGGTGTGGAGGTTCATTGCAGGGTTGCATTCTGGCATAAGGGCTAGCATGGCCCAAGAGGTGGAGATAGGACTCCTTATTAGCTAGTAGTAGAGATTGCTCGGAGGATTGAGGGCTACCGTCTATGGGGTAGAGAGCAGATGCAGTAGGATAAGAGGGATAGATTCTCCAGAGAGTTCAGAGGTGCCCCGGATAGGGGTAGAGGTCAGTTTGGGAGAGGTCAACCCAGCAGACCCCCATATTCAGCACCACCACCTGCTCGGGGTGCTCCAGCGTGCCCCTATTTCAGTGTCATGCTAGAGAGTTCTTATCGCTCGCCAGCTATTTAGGGTTCCTCCAGTGGGTATTCGGATCCCCAGGGTTCTTTTGGTTCCTATTTCAGTACTATGCCGGAGAGTTCATACCATCCACCGGCTATCCAGGCTTCTTCCAGTGGGTCTACAGGCCATCAGGGTTAGCCATCAGGATAGCAGGTCGCTACACCACAGGGTTGTTTTGAGTGCGGAGAGCTTGGTCATATGAGGAGATACTGCCCCAGGCTTCGAGGTAAGGCAATACAGCAGGGTTAGTAGCCCATGATTTCTGCACCGGTTGCCCAGCTGTCTAGAGGTGGGGGGCAGACTGGTAGAGCCCATCCTAGAGGTGGAGGCTAGATAGGGAGAGGTCAGCCAGCTACTTCTCAGTCAGGTGGGGGGCAGCCAGCCGGTGCTCCAGCCAGATTCTATGCCCTTCCGGCTAGGCCAGATGCATTGGCCTCAGATACCGTCATCACAAGTATTATTTCCGTATATGGTAGATATGCTTTGGTATTATTTGATCCAGGGTCTACCTATTCATATGTATCATCTCTGTTTGCTCGTTTCCTGGTTACTTATCCTGAGCCTTTGGGCACTCTTATTCATGTGTCCACTCCTGTTGGCGATTTTGTGGCTGTGGATCGGATCTACCGGTCTTGTGTGGTCACATTCTATGGTTTCGAGACAAGAGCGGATCTCTTATTGCTTGATATGATCGACTTTGAGATCATCCTAGGCATGGATTGGTTATTTCCATATCACGCCATCCTAGATTGACATGCCAAGACTATTACATTAGCCATGCCAGGGTTGTGAAGCTTGGAGTGGAAGGGTTCCACAGTTGATACATCTAGTCGGGTTATCTCTTTCCTGGAGGCTCGACCTATGGTCGAGA